TCTCACGGCCGCCCCCGCGGGCGTCAGGAGGGGAGGGCCCATCAAAAGACGAGGGGGAAGAGGCGGGGAGGGGGCCGCCTGAGCCGGGGTTGAAGGGGACTCCCCTGAGGGAGGGAGTGAGACGGCCTGAGGAAGAGGGGGCCGGAGGTGTGCTGTAGGGGGGCTCCGGTGGGGAGGTGGTGGGTGGCGGGGGGATGTCCTCCGAACCAGGCACGGACAGGCTGCGGCTGAATTTCATGGCTGGGGGTGCTAGGTAGGGTCTGTCATCTTCTGCAGCCCCTGGGGAGACACAGAGAATGGAGGAGTGGGGCCTTGGGGGGGGTCTCTCTGCTCCCCTCTCTCTTAGAACCACATACTAATAACAATAAAGGAGGCAGCCAGCATGTGCTAGGGTATTCGCATGGATTATAATGCCCAGGGCTCTCCCAGCTATGGGAAACCCAAATCCGCTTTCGTACGACGAACAGGTTGTGCACTGCACAACAGCCAACAGCGGGGACAGCAAGCGGAGGCGGGGGCCTGAAGTTCAGCTGAACTTCCTCCCCGAACCAGGAGGGGGCGCCCTGTTTTCTAATTCGCACAAAGGCTCGGTGTATGCTAGTGGTGGCTTGGGGTGAACGAAAGTGGCTTGAGCTGGGAAGGGATCGTCATATTTATGTGCGTGGTTATATGTTCCTTTTCATGTACCTTGTGAATGCAGGAAAGAAATGCAATTAGCACATCGAACCTGTGATTTTACAGATAGAACTGCTTGGGATGAGGCCAATGTTTAAAAGAGGGAGCCAATTCATAGAAAAATGTTAGGTAAATGATTAGATACAGGTAACCTCACAGATGTAAGACTCATACTGGTAGACCATGAATGCTGGAAGTTGGATTCAATTGGCAAAACAACTCCAGGAGGCTTGGAGGAGTTAAGTCTTTGCCTATTTGTCACCTGTCAGGGCCTGGTCTTCCACCCTCTTCTTGTCTCTCACTACTCTCTCTCAACTGGTGTCCATCCTCATTCACTACCTCTCTGCTGCCAACTCCCACGTTCATGTCTGCGGCTCCATCCTCTCCCCTGAGCTCCAGGCTCCTATATCCAAATGCCCACATCCACTTGGAAGCCTCACAGGCATCTCAAATGCCAAAGGTTCCAAACCAAGCTTCTGAACTCATCCCCAGCAGACTCCCCCCATCTCACAGTCTCTCCATCTCAGCAAATGGCAGCCTGTCCTTCTAGCTGCTCAGACCAAACACCTTGGAGTCATCCATGGTTGCTTGCTTCCTCACTCACTCACATCCAGTCCACCAGCAAATCCTGCTGATTCAAAATGCATCCAGAATCCAACCCCTTCTCATCCCCCCTGGGTCACCACCCTGGGCCAGCCACCATTAAATCCTATCTGGACAGCAATAGCTGTCACTTCCTCTCTGGTCTCCTGGCTTCTGGCCCCCCTGCCCATTCTAGTACACACACAGCAACCAGAGGGATACTGTTAAAACCCAAGTCAGTTCACATTCTTCCTCAGCTCAGAGCCTTTCTGTGGACCCACCCTCTCTCAAAGTAAAAGTTCAAATCCTCAGCATGACTCACCACACCAGATCCTGCAGGACATGGGTCCTGTGCCCTCTTTGCCCTCATGTCTGGTGTTCTCTCCCATGCTCCCTCAGCTCTCTGGCCCATCTGGCCTCATCCCTGTTCTGTAAACACATGAGGCTCAGTCCTACCTCAGGACCTTTGCACAGGCTGTTCTCTGTGCCCGGAATGCCTTACCTCCAGATATCCCTATAGTTCTTCACTTCATCTCCAGGTTTCAGCTCAAACTTGCCCTCCCCAGCAATCCTGATCTCTTTTATCTTACTCTACTTCCCCCCCCCTTTTTTCCCATAGCACTTACCACTGTTAACATACTACATAATTTTCTTGCTTATTATCCCTATAATCTACTGTCGTCTTCCCCTGCTAGAAGGCAAGCTCTGTGAGGGCAGGGCCATTTAGTCTGTTTTGTTCACTGACATATCCCCAGCAGTCTAGGAAATTCCTGGCATATGGTAGGTGCTCAAGAAACATTTGTTGAATAAATGAATGAATGAATGAATGAATGAAATCAGGTATAGAGAAGGAACCAGGGTCTGTGGTGGGGGCTTTGACTCATTGCATGCAGGCAGGGGCAATAATGTCCCCGTTTTCTAGAGCCCAAGGCCCGGAGAAGTGAAGCCTCTCGCCCTGGGTCACACAGCTGGGAAGGAGAGCCAGGATTCATACCCAAGTTTTCCCAGCTCCAAAATCTGAGCTCTTTGCCCAACTTGATGGAACTAGGGTCACATATGGAAGTAGAAAAGAACATTTTCAAGCCCCTTTGCTTCCTCTATAAAACTATCATCTTCCCGGCCTCACCCTGGGCCCCACATCCCTTATACCCACCCTGCAGGGGACATACCAATAGATTTTTGCCGGAGCATAAGCCCAGGTCCTGGAGGCAGGAAAGAAGGACGTTCATAACTTGGCTGGGAGCGGTGATGGGGATCGAAGCTCGACTTCGGGGTGGCAGTCATTGTGGGAGAGAGAAAAGATAGCAGAGAAAGATCAGTCAGGGCATGAAGACTCATGGCTTCTCCACACAGCCATCTCCCATTCCTTCTCCAAGCCTCTGCAGGAACGGAGAGCTGCATGAAGAAGGTGGAAGGGAATTCTGGGGGAAGGGAAAGTCTGGGCAGGAGGGAGAAAGAAAGGAGAAGAAAGCAGATTATTAGTCGACCCTGTGTTCTACTTCCCATATCAATCACTAATCTGGGCACTTAATTCCTCTTGTCACTACCCATGTCCAAATCCCTACCATCAGTCACCTGGAGGGCTGCAGTAGCTTCCTCCCCCATCTCCCTGTGACCACCCTTGTCCCCTTACCCCTTTCTGGTCTGTTTTCCACACAAAAATCAGAGGGATCTTTCAAAAAGAAAGTCAGGGTGTGCTATTACCCTGCTTGAAATCCTCCAGTAACATCCCATATCAGTTAGAAGGGGATCTGAATTCCCACCTCTGGCCAGAGGGAGACACTGTTGGTGCCTGCCCAGATCCCCTTGACAGAGATATGCCACCATCCCCCCCTACTATGAGTGTCACCTGCCTGCGGCTCTGAAGAATCACCCTTCTCCAATGGAATCGACTTGCCCAAGCCGTTACATGTGCCTGATTGTCTGAGCAGCCCACAGCCAATGACTAAACGGTATGGAAGTACAAGGCAAGACTAACTCCGTGGTGCACCTCACACTCCAGAGCTCCCCATGGGATCAAGCGGAAGGCAGACTCCAGCGGGGACTTTGTCTGCTAACCCCCTTCTGCAGTCCTTTCCTGCTTCCCTCACTCCCTTAAGGTTCTCCTTTAGTGTCTATTGGCTCAAGAATCCCTGTCTCAGGCTCTGATTCGAGGAAGCCCAGCCTCTACCTCCACCTTCTGCTTGCTCCTTCTGTTCCCACCACATCCCACCTCTTCCTGCTCCTCCAGCAAGCCCAGGTCTAGCCTTGCTTGAGAACACCCGGTTCTTCTCTTTGCAGTGACTTTCCTCCTTATTGTCACAGGCTCCTTTTTATCTTTAACTTCTCTACTCACATGTCCCCTCCTCAGTGAGATCTTCCCTGCCAATCCTCTGTCACTGTCTACCACATTTCCCTGTCCTGAAACTCTCCCGTTTACTTGCTTGTTGTTTGCATTTAATAGCATAGTATATCCGCTCCCATGGAAGCTCCCTGAAGGCAGGGGTGACTTATCCCAGGCACTGCAGCTACAGTGACCAGGGCCCACCATACTTTCAGGGGAAATGTTTTAGATTTTTTCTAAGTAGAAGGGGAAAAAATGAATAAAATCCAGCCTGGATAATTATTTGTCTTTGCACCAACACAATCATAAAATATAAATTTTATTTTATTCTTTAGGAGAAAGGGCAAAAGTGCAAAGACTCTCATAATGAAGTCATAATGAAGCCTGCATGAGGGTAGAGACTGTCTGTCTTGCTCCTTGCTCAGTCCCGAGTCCCCAAACAGGGCTTGATCAAACAAGCACATATTGAACGAACGAGTAATGCGTCAACACCAGGCATTGCTGGGCCCTGCCTCCCCGGCTTCTGCCAGGTGACCCCGTATATCTCCCTTTTCCATCTCTGAGACCAGAAGTGCAGAGAAAGGAAATCCTCTCAGGATGGAATCCCAACCTGTGGGGTGGGATCCTCACCTCCTGCCATGTCCCCTTCTACCCCCTTGCTTTAGCCATTCAAACCTTTCCCAGTTCTCTGAATTCCCTGTGCTGTTTCTCACCTCAGAGCCTCAGCATATGCTGTTCCCTCTACCTGGAACATCCTTTCCCTGCGCTCTTCGTGGGAAGGCTCCTTGTCATCCTGGGCCTCCACTCTGGCCTGGTTGTCCCTTTCCCCTAGATCTGCATGGTCCCATACGGTAGCCACTAGCCATTCAGATTAAATTTCAATTAGTGTAAATTACTTAAAAGAAAATCCTATTCCTCCATTGCAATGTCACATTTCAAGTGTTCAAAAGTCACCTATGGCTGCTGTCTACTGTGTTGGACAGTGCAGATGTGGGACATTTCCATCATCACGGGACGTTCTATTGGATGACACTGGCCTGGACATTCCTAGGGCCCGTATTACCTCTTTCACCACACTCACTTCCCTGGATTGGGACTGTCTATTTCTATATTTCTCCCACTAATTCATTTCAAAAATATTTACTGAATACCTCCTCTGTGCCAGGGACTGTTCTAGATGCTGCAGGTGCAACAAATTAGACAAATGTCCTGGCCCACACAAAGAACAAGCAGGCCATAAACAAAATAAATTAGTAAAATATAACATGGGTCAGATGGAGGTAAGGGAATGGAGAGAGGGAGAGTATAATTTAAAATAAGGCAGTCAAGAAAGGCCTCACTGAGAAGGTATTATTTGAACAAACTCCTGAAGGAGGTGAAGAAGGGAGTCATGCAGATATGTAGGAGAAGAATATTCCAGGCAGACAGAACAGCAGGTGCAAAAGCCCTGGGGTGAGAATAAGCCTGGCATGCTCAAGAAATAACAAGGAGGACAGTGTGTCTGAAGCTGGGGAGCCAGGGACTGAGGGATGGAAGTTGAGGTAGCAGAAGTGGTAGAAGGGCAGGATTGGGTGGGACCTGCAAGTTTCAGGTTTCCTTCAGATTTCAGCTTCAATGTCTCCTTCCTAGAGAGGATTCTTCTGTAACTCCCTTAAATTATGTCAGTTTAGAGTCATCATTATTATTTGCTTCCTTGTTTACTGTCTGTCTCCCTGGTCATGGAGCCTATCCAATATCTATTCTACTCTTCTTTGGTAAGAAAACCCTAATCTTATTTGGCACCTATTGAGAGACTACATTTCCAGCCTCCCTTGCAGCTAGGTATAGCCATGTGACTAAGGCCAGCCCAGATGCATAAGTGGAAGTGTTGTGTGTTACCCAAGAGGCAGCAAGGTACTCTCTTTTGCCCTTCTGCCTTTCCACCCTTTCTTATTTCTGCTACCTGGAATGCTGGTGCCATAGCTAGAGCTACAGCAATCACCTTGGACTATGAGGCCACTTTGTGGTTGGAAGCAAGGCTAGTATGGTGGAGCAGAAATTTAGAGAAGGATCTGGGTCTTCATGGCCATGGAGGCTGCTGACCAGCCTGAGACTCCCTGCCTCAGACTTCTTTAACATGAGAGAAATAAAAGCATTTATTTTGTTCAAGCCACTGTTATTTTTTTTCTCACATACAGCAGAATCCAATTCTGCTACATTCCACTTCACCCCAAATGTAAATTCTCTAAAGGAAGTGACCTTGTTTGACCAGTTCACGCCTACATCCTCAGAGCCCAGCAGCCAATCATGCACATAGTAGGTGCTCAATAAATATTTTAGAATAAAGGACTCATTGGAGGAAATATAAGAAACCCTGACAAAATGTGGGGAGGACCCCAAGTGTAAACCCCAGTCCTATTCTTCTGAACACCCTGATCAACAGCACAGGTCCAGCTCCAAGAAGGCATCAGGACGTGTCTCCTGAATGCATCCCACTTTTGACCTATTTCCCCCCATTCTGCTTGTCTCTGAGTGATTCTCAGCCTGCCCAATTCTCAGCTTTACTGAATGTTTTTCTCTTCCTCTTTCCTCCTTAAGCCTCAGCCAAATACTCTGCTTGGTTTTCTGTCCTGACCTGCAGCTGTGTGGTATCAGGAAACAGAATACTGAAAAAGATATATCATGCGGTGGCACAGAGAGAGAGAAGTGGCAAGTAGAGGGAGGCATTTTGCAGTGCCATTTTGCCTGCTACTTTCTGTGTATGTCCTCACTGAATCTTCAAGCAAACTTGTGAGTTAGGGTTGATTATATTCATTTTGATGATAATGAAAGAGGCTGTGGGCCAGAGAGAAGAAGGATCTTGTCCTAGATAAGCCAGTGAGTAAGGAGGAGATGAAAGAGGCATCTCAGAAAACAGATCAGAGTTGTTAGAAAATCCTAAGATCAAATAAAATGTGTGAAGAAAGGGGTACAAAGAGTAAAGACAAGGTTGTACGACCAGTCTGAAAGGATGCAGGGCTGCTGAGGGGCAGAAGAAGGCTCCAGAAGACACTAAGTACAGAGTCTAGGCTGGGAGCGCAGCAAGGGGCGGGTGATGAAGAGGAGGGAAGGATGGTGGGAAGAGCATTCTGCATGATGCATAGGTGGGGGTGGGGGGTCAGGTGACAGACGAGGTGTCAGGGTGACAGAGGAGGGATCAGGGTGACAGGGCAGGGGTCATGGTAATAGTGGGTAGAGAAGGTTCAGAGTGAGAGAAGAGAGTGCAGAGTGATGGGGGAGACATTATATTTGCAAACTGACAGAAGACACTTCGATGTGGGAGAGGAGGGATCAAAAAGTGAGTTAGCTGGACACAAGAGAGTGACAGAGGAGACGTCAGACTGACAGAGAAGCCATAATACTGTCTGAGGAGGCATTGAACTGACTGCCTATGAAGTGGAATGACCCCAGATGGGGCAGGCTGACCTCTGTCCACAAACGGGGAGCACCCTCTCCCGTAGAGAGGGGTAGCCAGTCATGATGCTCCAGCTACACATGACATCATTGGCTGCGGTGCAGACTCCTCCTCAGTGAGTTGGCCTGCAGGTCAGGCTCTCCAGTCGTCTTGTGGGTCTGGTGCCCCAGTGCCAGTGTGTGCCTCGTGCTGGGACACAGCTGACAACGGGCTGGGTAATTCCTGCTAAGGAGACAGCCCCTAAGAGAGGTCAGAGGTGAGAGAACCGAGAGGGAGACAGATGGAGAGAAAAAGATGGGGGCACAGGGACAGAGGTGGCGAGGCAGACATAGACAAAGACAGAGATGAGAAGACAGACAGAGACAGAGATGTGGAGACAGAGATAGAGAGATGGAAACAGATGGGAGACAGAGATAGAGAGACAGAGACAAAGGTGGAGATACAGAGGTGGAAAGACAAAGATAGTGATGGGGAAAGAGGTACAGAGATAGGGAAGATTAGAGATGGAGAAAAGAGAGAGAGAGACGGGGAGACAGAGACAGAGATGGGGATCCCAAAAGGGGAGAGACAAAGATTGGGAGACATGAAGAGAAATGACACAGTGATGTGAAGAAAGGGGGACCGAGAGAGGCAGGGAGGGAATGGCAGTCCTGATAGGGCCTGACACGGAGAGGGTCATAGCAGCCCCAGCAGGGCAGGACAGAAGCAGCGAGTGCAGCCAAGAGGGAGTGATAAAAATAATCAGAGGGAGAAACTGAGTTGAGAGGAAGGTTAAAACCAGCACCTATGTTGAGACTAGGGGACAAGGGTGTCAGCGACCAGGCAACAGAGACAGTAGCTGAGAAAGCCAAGGCCATACAGAAGGCACAGACAGATGGACAGCAGAGCCCTAGGAGGAGACACAGCCCAAGAGGCGCCTTGACCTAAAGCAGATCTGCCTGGGCTCTGTGACCTCCGCTGTCGGCATCAGCGGGCCTTCTTCCTCACCCCCTTTAGGTTGTATGCAAAGGTGTGTCTATTGGGAAGGGCTGAAATCTCCCAATTTCCAAGTTATTAAACAGTGGCATTTTACACAAGGATTTGCTCCTGTTCCTTGTTGTGCAGACCTGACCCAAGAAGCCTTGAGGCAACACTGTGCCCCACACTGTCTCTGGTCTAGATGCAGAGGGGTCCAAGCAGGAGAGTGAAGAGGGGAGAGAAGCTGAAATGAATGGGAGACTGAGACAAATGGCAGAATAGGACCAGACACCAAGAGAGGCCACCAAGATGCAGAAACCTCACGAAGGGGCCTCTGCATTGACTGAGAGGTGGGAAAGATCAGGATGGCAGGTGAGAGGGGACAGAAAGATCCCCTAACATGAGAGGGAGGCTTGGGGAAGGCCAAGACACAGAACCCAGAAGTGAGAGAAGAAAGGGGGAGGTTCTACAGGGCAAATGACGTCTGGCTTCCTGGACACGGAGGAAAAAAGTCCCCACGGAAGAGCTCAGGTGAGTGCCTGCAAGTTTCCCGTCTAGGAAGTTGGGGCAGGTGGGCAGCTGGTTTTATTATTGGCTGGTGCCTGGGCCCATCTGTGGGGAGGGGTCTTTGGAGCTCAGATGTCAACTTCCAAGAGGGCCAGGATCTTGTTTGTCCTGTAGCTGAGTTCACACAGGATGGGCCTAGTACCATGGCTGCCTGGTACATCATGGGTGCTCCACACATTTGTTGAATAAATGAAAACAGGACTTGCTCTAATCTATTATTAGAGACTCTGCACCTAGTCTGATGTGCTGTTGCAGGGTCTCTAGTATCGTGGGGTCTCTGAGGTACATGCGGGGTTCACTGCTGAGTCACAGTGGGGTCTCTAGTTTGTTCTTTTCTATCCCGAGGGGTCACCATTTATTGAGAGCTTGCTGTGACGGAGTTAATCTCATTTAATCCTTGTAAGAACTGGGCAAGGTTGGCTTTAGCCCCATCTTACAGAACAGGAAACTGAGATGCAGAGAAATTAAGTAACATGGTCCAACATGGCACATTAAGTTAGTGGAGGTCAGAATTTGAATCCACATTCATCTGTTGCTATAGAGTTTCCAGGGATCAACAACAAAGGTGAACACCTGGGTGAGGTTTACAGACTCGGGAGGGAAGTCAGAGTGAGGCGAGGGTAAGACACAGATTGGAAGGAGGAACGAAGAAATGGGATTGTTGAGGGGTACATCCCAGGCCTCCAAAAAATGTTAAATGAGTGAATGGATATGCTGGTGTTCTGCATCTAAGTCCACTTAAAATCTTTTACCCTTAGAATGGTGTGCAGCAGAGTTTCTCAACCAGAGGTGGCTTTGGCCCCCACATGACATTGGGCAGTACCTGGAGATATTTGCTACTGGCATCTAGAGGGTAGAGGTCAGGGAGGCTGCTAAACATCCTACAATGCACAGGACACCCCCTAAAACTAAGAATAATCTAGCTCCCAATACAGTCAATTCTAGTTATTTGTTGTAGTCATGTTCTATAAAGTCACCACACACTTTTGTCACCAGACCAATATATAACATTTTTAGTGTGTTTCTGTGGAAAGACACCTTATTTAACATATATTGTTGATTCATTAACATTGAGCTCATGGCCAACACACTGTACGTCACACCTGAAAGAAGCTTATCTAACACATATTCTCTCCATAAGGCACATTACAGCCTTCTTGTGCTTAGGAACACTAGATGGCATGTCAGCACTTTGCTTGGGGGACATTTAAAACATGGAAATAACCAATAAAAAGCACAAAGATACAAAAAATGTGGCACTAAGTAGACCAAGAAAAGGACACTTGCTTACAGTTTAAGGGCTGATATGAGAAAGCAGAACATTGCCTTGTTCAACCTCAGCTAGGAGCTGTGCATAGGGTGACTCAAAATTTTCTCTGCTTTGCACACATCCAAGAATAACTGCAAAAATCCCACGGATATTGATTTTTGGGGTCCAAATGAATTTTGGTGAGTAGGAGACTTCCCAAATAATAATAAAGATCAACGGTGTCAATAGTACAGACGTTAGGAACCCTGGTTTAGGGGAAAAGAACTTGGATCTCAGTTCTGATTGGACACACACTTGCTGAGAGACCTCAGGCAAGTCAACTCACATCTCCAAGACTCTGTTTTATCTTCTGTAAAATGGGGATGGTCTCTCTTCCTATCCTTCCCTCCTTCCCGGGTGGTTGTGAAGAACGTTGCTGAGGAATCATAAGATGGTAGTGGAGGCTGAGTGAAGACAGAAGCTCAGAGAAGAAAAAAAAAATCAGTGACAAAAAAATAGAAGCCCAGGGGAGGTAGATTTGGGCTCCATAGAAGGAAGAACTTTCTAGAGGTCCACCCACATATAGAATAACAACAACTGGAGGTGGTGAGCTCCTTGCCTTCAGAGGCATTCAAGCACAGGCTGTTAGAAGACTGGAGAAAGAGGCAGAGGGGATTTGAAAATAAGAGGTGGTGACTAGGCTAGATTCTGGCTGATGTCCCCAGATGATAGCTTGGGAGTCTACGGAACTCAGAGCCGGATGTGAAATTTCAAAAAATCCAGGTTGAGTGTTTTGGGGAATGGCAAGATGACTTGCCCCAGATCAGAGGGCACTGGAGAAACATCTCTCAAACAAGGGAAAAGGGGAAAGAAGGAAACCACCACTTGTTGACAGCCTGCTGTGCTGGAAGTTGATCTCATTTAATCCTACTGAAACCAGCAAGGTCAGCTTTAACCCCATTTGACAGAGTAGGAAACGGAGATGCAGAGAAATTAAGTAGTGTGGTCCAAAGTGACACAATAAGTTAGAGGAATTTAGTATCTGAAGTCACGTGGGCCTGGTTCTAAGGCCCAGGTACTTGGGATTCTTACACTGAACTTGTGGGGAGGTGGGCAGGGAAGATGACCCTAATAGACTCAGAGATTTCGAATTCCTTCAGAAACCAAGCACCTGGGTAAAGTGAGGGCTTGTTGCCTGTCGGGCACTCTGCCAAGACCTGAGAAGTGGCCAAGGACCCTCCACCTCTAAATCGGAAAGAAATTTCAGAAGCTCTGGTACAAAATTTGTCCCATGCTCTTGATTCTTGTAAAAGGATAAGATCCTTTAGAGCAGGTAGTGTAACTCTTAAGAGGGGTTGTGGATAGAGGTCAGGGGGGCCTGTGCACTCGGACAAGAATGAACGGTATGTCTTTATTTTCATTATCCTCCAATGAAAACTTGACCCTTCCTCAGTTAGGGCTGTACACAGCAAATCCTACTAGTCTCAGCAAAACCTGCGACTGTCCCCCAGCAGACTTCATAGATATTCCCATATCCCATCACGGTGGTGCAGATTCTTGAAATAGTGTTTATACTCCTCGTGATTTTGAAATCAGAGTAGTTAAGATCCACTGCCAGATCTTGCTGTCTAATGTTGACAAAAAGGCACTGATATTACAATATCACAAATGTCGCTTTTAAAAAGTATTTTGATAACTATATTTCAGCATACCTTGCTTCTTTTGTTATCTTATGTATTGTGTTTTATGCAATTATAAGCATTATTCTGAGGACTATGCCAGCTTGCCAAAGGGGTCCATGGCCGCCTAAAAGCCAAAGAACCCAGTTTTAGAGTAAATGGCCCTTTGGCCACCAGGTGGTGGGTGTGACCTGGGCAATAGAGCCTCTGGAGGAGACAGCTGGTGGGTGGAAAAATGTGTTCTTGTGAAGAAACACAGCCCAGTGGGATGGACAGCCAGGAAGGAGCCAGGGGCCCCACCAGACGAGCCAGAGCTATGGCTGGACCATGGGCTCAGGGGCCTGAGTGCCTGGGTTGAAATCCTGGCTTCTTCTCTGAGCCCTCAGTAAATGGGCTAACAACTGCATATACTTCCCAGGATGCTTCTAAGGAATACATGAGATAATCCACATAAAACTCAGTGTCCAAAACACGATCAGCACTCACTAGAGGTTAGCCTCTTGTGGGGAAAAGCAGGCCTAGCGAGTGCGGACAGAAATAGTAATGAATATTTTAGTAACTACTATTTGTGGAGCACCTACTATTATGCTGGGGGATCTCCATCCATGACGTCATGTTGCCTTCCCTGAGACTCTTGAGGTGGGGCAGAGAGGGACAGAAAGAGGTGGAAAAAGAGAGTGAGGGTGAGGAGCAGGGATGGAAAGTGGAGAGAGGAAATGAGAGAGACAGGACTGGGGGGTGGGGCAGGTAGGAGGATGAGCGGGGAGGAAAGGAGGCCCCCGAAGTGGGGAGAAAAGAAGCTGGCCCGTTGGCTCAGTTGGCAGAGTGTGGGGGTGATAACAGCAAAGTGAGGAGAAAGGAGAGGACCCCAGGAATTGTGCCGCCCCTCCAGGATCAGCATGAAGCACAGGAAGGTCAGGAAGGGCTTTGAAAGGGGAGAGGCTCCAGGTTGGCCTGTGCACCCCTCCTCTAAAGTCTTTTCCTTACATGAGGCCGCCTACCTCAGTGGCAAAGAAGCCCTTGGGTCGGTGTTTGCCCAGGGATGCGAGGCCACCAGGCCCAGGACTCTCGCTGGCACTGATGGTCTGCTGAGCTGCAGCCAGGATTTCATCCAGTTTGTCTAGGGGGAGGCGAAGAGAGGTAGGGAGACAGCAAAATGAACCTCTGCTTTGATCTAGCTGGAGAGACTGAGCGGCCGCGGGCAGCACATAGCACGCCTTGCATGAACCAGAAAAGGGCACCCCTGCCTCCATCCCGGGGGGCGTGCAGCCCCGCTTGGAGACACACTCTCCCGGGCCCAGCGGGCAGGCCTCAGGGACAGGAGTGGGTATGGGCAAAGAACAGGACAGCTGTCCCGGGGCGGAGGCTGGGGGTGTCAGGGGGAGGGAGAAGTGAGTTTGTGGAGTGGTCGGGTATGAAGGTGATGAGTGCGGAGGTGGCAGAGGGGGCAGGGGAGGAAAGCGACTGGAGAGGATGCAGCCACTGCGGGGCTGCGGGGCTGCGGGGCTGCGGGGCTGCGGGGCTGCGGGGCTGCGGGGCTGCGGGGCTGCGGGGCTGCGGGGCTGCGGGGCTGCGGGGCTGCGGGGCTGCGGGGCTGCGGGGCTGCGGGGCTGCGGGGCTGCGGGGCTGCGGGGCTGCGGGGCTGCGGGGCTGCGGGGACGGGGCCTGGCGCGGCCGGAGAGCAGGGCTAGGCCGACTCACTGAGAGCCATCTGGTATACGGTCCGCTTCTTCTCCATGCTGGGCACCGGCGCAGGCTGCTGCTCGTACTCTGTGGGCAAAGGATACGGATGAAGGCCCAGGGCACCCGGGGGCGCAGGGCGAGGCGGGCTCGGCCCGTGGGCGCGGCCGGACGGCGTGTGCAAGCGCGACGGGGCGGTGAGGGGCCGGGGGCGGGCAGGGGCGAGCTTGCCGGCGGGTTCGGGAGACCGGGGCCCTCCCGCCAGTCCTGTGCCCACTCACCACTCTTCTTCTTCCAGGGGGAGACTAGCCCGGGGGAGAGGCAGCAGAGGAGCCAAGAGTTAGGACGTCAGGGGAGGCGAGGGGCCCCCTGTCTGGGTCGCCCGCCTCCCTCAGGGCCCGGCGGTGGGGGCGCTTAGCCGTTCGACCCGTCCCTCAGGGGAGACGGGATCCCCGGGTCCACTAGACCCGTCTGGGGCAGGGGCTCTCTCTCCTCTGTTGTTGGGGATTCGGGGAGCTAGCGGAGGGAGAGATGGAGAACAGTGGTGCGGGTGAAGTGGGACAGATAAAGAGGGGCCAGAAGGAAGGAAACAGAGCGACCCATAGAGGGAGGGTCACATACAGACCCTGAGAGAGACCCCGACAGAGAAACAGGTACGAGACAACAGAGGAAAGGAGTCTCTCGAACACCCGTTCCCAGTGACACACACGCAGGCCAGAGAGAATCTGACTCATGGATTAGGGGACAGGATGAGGACGAGGACCCCAGGTCACTAACAACGCTAACAAACTCAAGGGATGGTCCGGCCCCCTTCCTCGCTCCCGCCACCCCCCTCTTGGCCCCTCGGCCCCAGCAGCCCCCCAGGCTCACCCATCTCCTCCAGCTCTGAGGTCATAGACTTGGAACGCAGGGAGATGGTTGGGGGTGGGAGCCGTTTTGCCTGCTGGGGTGCTGAAGAGGTGACAGTGGGAGGAAGCATCAGTATCATGGGGGAGAAGCCCCCACGAGCCCCACCTCCACAGTGCTCCCAGAACTTAGAGAATAGCAGCTGTCAGCCTGCTGAGCCCTCCCTGCCTCAGTTTCTATTCAGAAGGGTCATGAAGGGTCCCTGGGGGAAGGGAAGGCCTTGGGCAGTGGGGATGGGCCATCAGGGCTCCTGAGGGTCCTAGTCTGATGGCAGCGGGGTGCCCAGGCCTGGCCACACCAGCAGGTGAAAGAGCACCTTTCTTATGGACGGCCTCATCCATGTCCGGGTGCCTGGTGACCATCACCACCTTGACCATCAGCGTGTTGCCCCCCTGGCGGATCATGTTCACCACCTGCCGGTGGCCCACCTTCACCACATTCTGCCCATTCACCTGTGGCACAGACATACCCAAATGACACTGGGTAGATGAGGGGAGGGGTGCTTTCATTCAGCTTGAGTCCCCAAGAAAGTGGCCTCCTAGGCCGCGCTGTCTATGACCCTCTCCACCACTTTCCCTTACTTTTGCGAGGTCCCCCCTCCTCTCTGTAACAGCCCTGGCCCGCTCTATTCACCTTTCTTCCACTTTGTCCCTTAGTGTTGTGTGTGTGCACATGTGCATGTGTGTGTGTGTGCACACGTGCGTGCGTGTGCGTGTGTGCATGCGTGTGTGTGCACGCGTGCGTGTGTGTGCGTGTGTGTTTGCGCGTGTGTGTGCGTGTGTGTGCATGCATGTGTGTGTCTGTGCATGCGTGTGTGCGTGTGTGTGCGCGTGCGTGCGTGCGTGTGTGTGCGTGCATGTGTGTGTCTTGCGTGCGTGTGTGTGTGCGTGCATGTGTCTGTGCGTGCGTGTGCGTGTGTGTGTGCGTGCGTGCATGTATGTGTCTATGTGCGTGTGTGTGTGTGCGTGCATGTGTGTGTCTGTGCGTGTGTGTGTCTGTGCGTGCGTGTGTGCGTGTGCATGTGTGCGTGCGTGTGTGCATGCGTGTGTGCGTGCGTGTGTGTGCGCGTGCATGTGTGTGCGTGTGCGTGTGTGCATGCGTGTGTATGTGTGTGCGTGTGTGTGTGCGTGCGTGTGTGTGCGCGTGCATGTGTGTGCGTGTGCGTGTGTGCATGCGTGTGTATGTGTGTGCGTGCGCGTGCGTGTGTGCGTGTGTGTGTGCATGCGTGTGTGTGTGTGAGTGTGTGCATGTGTGTGTGTGTGTGTGTGTGTGTGTGTGTGTGTGTTGGGGGATATCTCTGTGCCACTCTTTTGAAATGCTTTCGAAAGGCCTTTAGATGGAACTGCTGAAGAAAGCAGAAGCTGGCTGGAAGGCAGGCTGGGGGCTGCGAAGCCTGGTGCCAAAGGGGAATAAAGAGTCGGGCAGCCAGATCCTGGCATGGATTATGAGGGGCCTGGGGATTTGTCACCAGAGTTCCAGGGAAGAGAAGGGGGCCAGGACTCACCTCGATGAGGAAGTCTCCCATTCGTAGTCCAGCTCGCCATGCCACGCCACCCTCGTCCACTGACTCAAGGTACTGTAGCGCCGGGAAGGCGGGGGTGGGGGTGAACTCCTCGATGGGGGTCTGCGCTGCAGACAGGGAGGAGCCGGCGGGGTCGGAGGGGAGGGGGTGGAGAGGCCGAGCAGGGGATGGGGCTCAGACCCAAGTCACGGAGGCCTCACCGTAGCTGAGGGACCAGCACCCCAGGGCGGGGTGGTGAGTGGGCTGGGGTCCCTTCCCCTCTCCATCTTCCCCCAACCCTAGCCCTGTTTCCTGGGTCAGAGAGCCCTTCTCCCATCCCCTCCCAGGCTGGCACTCACCCTTGGCTCCCCGGAGCACGAACCCAAACCCCTCACTGTCCTTCTTCTGCAGCAAGACTGTCTTTTCCTTAATGATGTAATCGCTGGCAGGGAGGCAGAAGGGATGGGGGGGGAGTGGGGGAGGGATCATGAGACACAGATTCAGTGCCCCACCTGGCAGCCCAGTGACCCAAGCCCCTGCTCCAGCATCGTTCATTGCACCTCCTAGGATCTCTCTCACCCACTCCGTGTGCATGTGCTTACAGCAGCCCTGACAGGCCTCCCCCTCAGAGCCCGGAGTGCTCTCTCCCACTCACTCTTTCCTCATTCATCCATCCATGCATCCATCCACCCATCCATTCAGCAAGTAGTTACCGAGCCCACTGTGCACCAAGCACAGTGGGAAGGATGGGGAGATAAGCCTCCAGATTACCAGACATCCTGGCTTGGGTCCCTACTAGCCACTTCCTGTCTCTGACCTTGAGCCCACGGACTTTGACCTGTTATGCCTCAGTTTCCTCATCTTTAATGGGGGACAATCACAGGCCGTACCTGATGGGGTTGCTTTCGGAGTTCAGTGGGGGTAATATAAATACAGTGTTTAGCATAGTGTGTGGCACATAGTATGTGCTCAGTAGGATTTGTTTGCTGTCCTTAGATCAAGTGCCAAGAAGACACATGAACTTTGATGATACTCCTCTAAACTCCTTTACTGTATGAATATTACAGTAGCACTTCCTGAGGTCCCTAAGCATATTGTAACATTGCTTATTCTGCACTGTCCAGTATGGTGGCCACTAGCTGCTGCATGGGGCTATTTTTATGAAAGTTAATCAAAATTAAAGTTAAAAATTCAGTTCCTCAGTCAGAGTGGCCATATGACAAAAAGCCCCATTGCCACATGTGACTAGTGGCTAGCACGTTAGACAGTGTGGATATAGAACATTTTAATCACTGCTAAATTCCGGTGGGTAGTGCTGTTTTTATATTCCCTGTTACATCTCAAATATATCTCCTGCATGCGTTCAGTATATTCTAGTAAAATGCAACCCACTCATGAATATGTTGACAGCCCCTAGTAAAGCCACCAAACCCCACCTGCATATTTGGGAAATGCTCACATATCCAGTAGAAGTCAATGAAATTCAAATACATTTCATTTATTTCAACACCTGGCCAGACTTGCTCAAACAAGAGCCCCCAACACTGATATCACCACTGACTGCCTCAGGCATACATATGCATTCAATGCCAGGAGGATCCAGTACCTCGGAATATGACGGGAATACCCAGACACACTGGCTCCAATACCACCACTTTCAGAGCACCCCCGAACACCCAGGAGCCACCAGAATGGATGCCCTGCCAGACCTCAAGCATCCTTCAGTAATGTCTGTCGCCTGTCTCAGTGCACACTTGGAGCACCTCCCCCCTTGCACATCCTAGTGTATTTCAACCATACCTAGACCCCCTCAGCATCTCCCAGTAATATCCATGCAGTCCTAACACACTCCAACAGCCAAGTGTGCTTCCCAATTACTTACCCCCACAGATTCAGCAGAACAGCCCTCCACGAATACTCCAGTATATTTCAGTAACACCCCCACACATCCCAGTATGCTCCAATAATAACTCCCCCTCACTCTGATCTCAGTATATTCCCATATCACGCCCCCTGAACACATCTCAGCACATGCCAATAATACCTAATGTGCTCTTACTGTACTTCAGCATCACCCCCCACAAGCACCCCTGTATATTCCCGTGACCCCCATGACTCCCATTGTATAATCCACACATTTGTACCACAGCAACAGTGTTCTGCGCGTGCACGTGTACTCCCACCCTGCCTTCACTCTCCTTATGGGCCTTGCTCTGCTCCGCAGCGCCCTTGTTCACTTATCCATACGCCAGCAACCGTCCTGCTCAATGTGCATCGTGGTCCAGTAAACACATCCACACCATAACCACCATGTCTTCTTCTTCCTGACCTTATATTCAACCCAGGCGTTGGCCACCTTTTTAGCTGGATGGAGCAGGTGTTGGGGGAGAAGGAGGGAAGGGCTTGAAAAGGGTGAATGGCGGGTGAAGGGAGAGGGGAAGGGACAAAGTGGGGCAGGAAGGCTCAAAAAGCAAGTGGATAGAGCCTGCTGCCTCTCCCTGACCTTGCATTCTGTGACATCCTTATCCCCGCCCTTGTCCCCATCACAAATCCTGACGGCCTCCTCTAAGACCTTATGCCTTTGCTACTCCCGTTTCCCTTCCAGGTCTCCAGGTCCCCTCAGCAGCCAGCAGTGCCCTTCAGCTCCCCTTTATTACTCACTGGCAGCAAGCTCACTTTCACTCACTCATGCCACAACCCCCGACCTGCCCCCCATCTTTCCCTCTTCCCCCTGGAATCTCTTTGACCCCCACATAAGCCTCACACCCCATACATAAGCTTTCCCCAAACACCCTGGCTCCCAATATATCAATAAAACTCCCATGGTCATGATATGCCCAAGAAGAAGCACTTGCTATGGGCCACTATGGGCTAGGCAGTATTGGAAGCCCTTCACAGGTAAATAATGCAACTGTCTCCCCACAACCAGCCTCTGAGGTAGGTATAAATACTATTTCCACTTTACAGGTGAGGAAATACAGGCACAGAAAGGTTAAGTAACTTGCCTGAGGTCACACAGTGAATAACATTCTTCAACAATACCCAAGAAAATACCTCAGTAAATGCAGTAGTAATACCCTCCACTCCACAGCACCGAATTACCTTGAGCACATATATGTCTGCTCCAGATTCACCAACAGCACTCCTCTTCAGCACCTGAGTAGTTTACCCCAGTTATGCCAACAACACAACAATGGCTAGCATTTACTGAAGTATTGCTGAATGCCGGACATTATTCCAAGCACTTTACATTTATATATTCATTTAGTTGTCACAACAACCCTGGGAGGAATTGACTGTTATGGTTCCCATTTTATAGATGAAGAAACTAAGGTACAGAGAAATAAGTTGCTTAAGATGATCATACCAACTAGAGAAGTGTCAAAGCCAAGACTTGAATTCCCCACAGGCAATCCATACACTCCAGTAGTGTCCAGACACCCCAGATCACCAGAGCGCCCCCTTTGTCTCTCCCTCTTAAGCACCCTCCCATCCATCCTGTACATGCTTCTCTCTGCTCCCCACTCCCATGACTTTCTCACCCAGTGCCCAGCTATATATGGTGTTTCCCTCTACATTCTCCTTGAACTTCCCGACTGCCCTCTTGCCCCCACAGCTTCCTGCAACTCCATAAGCTGTCTCCCCCTCTCCTCTCTGCCTCTCTCTCCACTCCTCCATGCCATCTCGAAGCTCCACATCTCCCTAACCCACCCCTATCTGTCCTCACTTCTGCAAGCCCTCATCGTACCCCATGGGACCATCCTTCCATCTCCCACTTTGCCCTGACACACCCCACATCCCCTTCCCCAAAGTGTGCTCCTCAGACTTCTGTGACCCCCTCACCCTTCTCCTACCACCTCTCTCCCTCCTTGGCTTCATCCCTCCCACACCCCCTTGTACCTCTGTGGGTGACCCCACTGCATTTCTTAAAGCCCCCAGGTTCCTCTCGTGCTCCCTCCATCGTCCTCCTCCCCTTCTCATCCATGGAAATCTCTTCCTACTTTTGCATCCTCAGCTCACTTCATCGCGCAGCCTTCCACCTCCTTTCACTTGCTTTTCATTTGCATCCCTTGCATCCTCTCTGTGCTCTCCCTGTCTTGCCCAAATCCCCACCCCCAAATCCTCTTCATATTCCCTGCATTTCCTCCTTTCCCCATTTCTCTTCTCTGAACACTCCACGCACCCCCCATGCTCCAGTATCCAGCCTTCCGCCTGCTTCAGTATTCCTCACTCTCCCACGTTCCATTCTCATCCCTCCACCCTCCTACCCAGACCCCTTTAACTCCGCCCCTCCCCCCAATATTCACTACCCATGCAGCACCCCATTCATGCTCTGTATTGCTGACTGACTACCTGCCCTGCAGGAGCTCACAAAATGCTCTCCCCCAGGCCATCCCTTGGCGATCATGAGCAGCCTCTGGAGCTCAGCAGTCAGCTCTTGTGCACCGGATCCCACACACGCGGAGACTGCAGCAGCGTCCACTCCCCCCACCCCCATCCCAAAGGTCCCTCTTGCACACCCAAGCTCCCACAGCGCAGAGCCTGCTGCTCATGGCGCCCCCTCCAGTCCTCAGCCACTCCTGGTGTACCCATCTCCATGAGCTTCTCCAAGTCCTGCCCAGAGGCCCCTCCACAGAAAAGCCAGCCCCCCCCATGCTGAGAAGTGGCACACACAGGCAGATGCAGCTCCCCATGCAGCTCAGCTGAGGCTCAGCACACATGTCCCACACAGGCAGAGGGCAGAACCAGTGGCCCAAATGCTCTCCCCACCACACACAGACCCCCTGGGGCAGGAAGAGAGACACATGGGGACAGCAACACAGACTGGGGAGTAAAGGGCCTGTGGGGGAGGGAGCAGCTCAGGCACGGGAGGGTGGGTGTTGGGAAGCACAGCCGCAGTCCCTGGGACAGACCCACTCCAACACACACACACACACACACACACACACACACACACACACACACACACACACACTCCCCAGACAGCCTCAGTATTGCTCCAAGTCACACACAGAGACAGACGCTGTCAAACAGGGACACACAGATGGACATAGCTGGGAGGTGGGCTGGGAGCCCACCATCTCTCCATCTCTGTCTCTCATACACACGCACACGCACACACACCCCCCCCACACACAGCTGCAGGCAGTTACACACACACATCGACACAGCCACACTGACACATGCACAGTCGCACAGTGACACGCAGCGGAAAAAAAGGAGGGGAGGGAAGGCTGGGGGCGGAATGCGTGTGTGATGGGAGGGGGGATGACTGTGAATGGGAGAGAGGGGTATGAATGGGGGGACTTGCCAACTCCATGAAGAGGTGTGGGGATATGGAGATCAAAGGGACAGGGCTGGGGTGTAGGCTCCTGAGAGGAAGCCACTGTGGCTCCCCACAGGGAGGGCTCCAGAGTCGGGGTGCTAAGGGTGGCAGAAAGGGCAAGTGGGTTCCAAACCCCAGAGAGGGGTCCGTTTGGAGGGCCTGACTGGGGGCAGGACCCTGGCGGAAGAGCTGAGGGGGTCCTGGAAGGGCCTGCGAGGCAGTGGAGGAAAGATTCCCAGGTCTGAGGAGTGTCTGGGGGGGCTGTGGGAGTGGGGCCCCAGGAGGGAGACGGAGATGAGAAGGTTGAGAAGAGGGGTCTGAAAAGGGTCTTGCACTGAGAGAGGTTAGGGCAGAGGGACGGAGGGGAGGAGGAGGAGCCCCGAGAGTAGGGATTAGCGGCGGGGGAGGGTGGTCGCAGCGGGCCGGGGCCTACCGGCCGGGCCGCGACACAAAAAGGGGGCGGCGCGCTCAGTTACCTGTAGATGTACCAGACGCTGCGCCGCCGGGGCCCCAGGGCCGGCCAGCTGGAGGAGAGCGCGGGGGGCGGCTGCGGCAGGGAGCCCCCAGCAGGGCC